GGAGCGAGAATCAAGAAGAGACGAGGGGGGTAAAAAACTCCGAACAAGTGAGATAAAACAACACGTGTGATAAAACAACCAGTATGATAAAACAAACAGCTGTTTGTCACACTTATGTCTCTATCACGCCTGCTTTTTTATCACACGTGTTCAGCTGTTTTGTCACAATTGCTTTTTTATCACGCTTGTTCGGTTTTCATCACACTTGTAAGAATGGCGCATGCAGGAGGGGGGGGGAGGAGGGAGGAGGGAGGAGGGAGGAGGGAGGAGGGAGTTGCAGGAGGGAGGGAGGGAGGGGGGGGGTAGGAGCAGGGAGCAGGAGCACACAATCGGCAGAGCCAGACGGGCGGGCCGGGCGGGTCGGGCGGACCCTACGGAACGGGCAGGTCGGGCGGGCGGGCGGGCTCAAGACGGCCGGGGGTCGATCGGGCGGGCCGCTGCAGCGTCACTCTGGCATGCATCGCGAGGAAGCCTCCAACGATTCCCACGTAGATCGTCTGGGAATCCAAAGCGAGAGCATGATTCTTGAGCGTCGGGGGCGCGGCGCCACAATGAATCGCGAGGGAGTGTCGCGCGAGAGCGCGAGTCCCAAGTAAGTCGCCAGGAAATCCAAAGCGAGAGCGAGGCTCCTGAGTGTTGGGGGCACGGCGCCACGATAAACTGCGAGGAAGTACCACGCGAGAGCGCGATTCCTGGATAACTGGTCCGGAACCCCTGCGCGAGAGCGCAATGTGTGGAAAACAACATTTTGAGAAAATATCAAACAATGGTAAACCGGGGGCCAAAGACACAATCGAGACGCAAGACTTCCCCTTGTGAACGACAAGGTGCGAGCCCGGGGAGGAGCACTTTAATTGAAAAAACAGTGGGCACCGGGGGGGATCAACAATACAGATATCAAACTGATAACTCATTAACTTTTACAGCAACGATCAGTTTACCCTCATGCGCCATGCCTCTTCATGCCACATGCTTCCATCATGAGACCTCCCCTCTTAGGGAAACTAACTAATTGAAAAGGACGCGATATTCTCACACCGCCTGTGCCGCTCGTGCTCGCGAACGCACCTGTCATCTGAAACAGTGTGAACGCCAAGCCCGAGATTGGCGCAGCCAGCCCTCTCGGGCCAGAAACGACTGGACGATGAGGAGGATATGCGAGGACTTCGAGAGGACGAGGCGACAAGTGCATGAGAATGAGACGGAGGAGGCGGAGGAGGAGCCTCCGAAGGGGCACGGAGACCGAGCTCGCCCCCTGCTGGATAGGGGGAGGGGCGGTCCTCGGCGGGGGGGGCGTCCACAGGGGCTTCTCGGCGGGCTCCGCTGTGGCGCCTGGGGCCTGTGGCCGCCGCTCCAGCCGGTCCCCTGGCCACTCGTTCGCCTGCCACCGGCGCGCGATGCTGATGAAGGGGCCCCAGGACACACAAATAAATACACACAAATAAAAAGATTCCCCATATTTGCTATATTTTCTGGGTTTATGTCTTCCCCCCCACTTCCCACAGTTTCCGATATTTTCTGAGGAATCGAAGATTAATTGTGTCTGTGTGTTTTTTCCTCTCCTGAGCTGACCGCGCTGGCTGGCACCCGGTACAGTAGGAGCTCGACCACAAGACACCTCCCACAAGAAACCCAACCCCGAGACCCCAGGACGTTCACTGCTCTCTGGTGTGGGAGCGTCACGCCTTCCATGGCGAAGCCATCGAAGCCCCAGAAACCAAGGGCACCCTGGAGGCAAGCAGGGCCTTCCTTGGCGTGGGCCTCCACTGTAACAGACACGGCCAGGAACTTGGGGCCCAGCGTGCCGCGGCAGCGGCCCCGGCGACATGCGATACCTGGCACGCGGATGGCGTGTCGCTCCGCTCCGCGGGGCGGGAGGCTCAGCAAAGCCAGGGACGTTGACGCTGGGCGGCCGGGAAGTGGATAGCGCGTCGCCGTGGGCCAGAACCAGCGGAGCGACTCGCTGAGCCCAAGCTCCTGGCCGCCAGCAAGGCGAAGGATGCGAGGGCTGAGAAGCTGGGCATTGACTGCATCAGTTTGCGCGGTTGTTCGCGTAGCTACCCGGGAGTGTACTCATGATCACCATGGTTGGTGACAGATGAAAAGAAAACGGCGGCTCTCTATGACGAATCGGTCGCCGCCAGGAAAACAAGGCATCGCGGCGTTGTTTACAACAACTGCCTCAACGTAGCTGCTACAGAGGCACAGATGCGCACGCCGACTACAACGAATAAAGGGGCGTCAGAATTCACACTCGCGTGCAGATTATTCCCAAACGCCGACGCTAGGGAACCCCCAAAGGACCTACGCGCCCAACCATGTAATACGGCCCCCAAGTACGCGAGACGGACCGCGAGCTACGAACGTTCGCGAAATGCGTGCTTTCGAAGCCAACGTGGGTTCATGTGCGCGTACGCCCCTTGTCCTGAACGGCGGCATGGCTTCCTCTGCTGAGACTCTGGAGCTGACAACGGGGATGGCCTGGCGGCGCACCCTCAGGGCGGGGGGGAAGCGCGCGGGGGCTGGCCTCCCCGAGACGGCGGCGGGGCTTCTCGAAAGCGCCTCCCCCCTCTGAGGACCGGGTCGGACGAAAGGGGGGGTACGGTGGAGGGAAACAATCAGTGGACACTCACCCTCTCCCCGGAATTCAAAGTTGGCACGCGCGTGGGGAAGACTGCGGTGAAAGTGCCACTCAGTGAACCCACCGCCAGCCCTGATCATTGAGAGGGACATTGACAGACGACTGTGGCATGAGTGTTCGCTACTCTCTTGCGAGGGGTGTAGTCGGTGGTTCAAAGATGGGGTCCTGAGGGATGGATCCTAAGAACGAGGTGCCTCAAATAGTGTAAATCCACCCTTGGGTCCCTTCCTATCCTCAGGACCCTATCCCTCAGGACCCCATCTTTGACCCACCGATGTAGTATAGGGTGGGTGGGTGGGTGGGTGGGTGGGTGGCGGGGGGGGGGGGGGGGGCGAAACAGTTCATATAGCTGGTTTCCCTGGCGCCTCCCGACGGGGTGGCCGAACCCAGCTGCATGCGGCAGATTTCGTTCTCCCCCCCTCCCAATTCCCCCCTGTCAGTCCGACCCGAGAGGAAGCCCCCTCGAGCTTGCAAGAACGCTTTCTTTGATGGGCGGGAGGGCCTCTGCGAAGCCCCGCGCCCTCTGAGAGGGCTGGCCCCTACATCCTCCTCCTCCTCCTCCTCCTCCTCCTCCTCCTCCTCCTCCTCCTCCTCCTCCTCCTCCTCCCCCTCCCCTCCCCCCGTCCTCCTCCTCCTCCTCCTCCTCCTCCTCCTCCTCCTCCTCCTCCAACTCCAACTCCACTCCTCCTCCTCCTCCTCCTCCTCCTCCTCCTCCTCATCCTCCTCCAACTCCAACTCCAGCTCCTCCTCCTCCTCCTCCTCCTCCTCCTCCTCCTCCTCCTCCTCCTCCTCCTCCTCCTGCTCCTCGTCCTATTCCTCCTCCTCCTCCTCCTCCTCCGCCTCCTCCTCCTCCTCTTCCTCCTCCTCCTCCTTTCCCCTCTCAGCGCGCCGCCGAGCAGCAGGGAGAGGCCCGCAGATCGAGCCCTGCGCTGCACAGCGCCGGCTGCTTTGCAGAGGGCGCCTCGCCTGTGAAGAGGCTGCGCGGCGCGGACCTTGGCCCCCTGCTTCGTAGGCCCTGACTTCAGAAGTCCAATCTGCCCCTCCCCCTCCCGTCTCCCCCCCCCCGAGAGCGGAGTGGAGGAGGGGAAAAAAACGAGGGGCAGGAGTGACACTCCCAAGCTCGCCCCCCGTCCCGCCCAGGGAGGAGGGGAGGCAAACGGGCGCGTCCTACCGCCCCACGGCCCGCCAAGGTCAGCCGCGGCGCGGGGCGGGGATTGGACTGGTGGTTGGAACGGGAGCCCCCGGCTGCCGCGCTCAGGGACGATCAGCCGGCGGTCGCCAATCGGAGGGGGGCGGCCCGAATATGTTCTCCGGGCACGCGCCGTGGCGCTCGCCACCCCAATGCTCGACCTCGCCCTCGCCGCACATGCAGGACGGCCGCCCCGCCCCGTTCGCCGCCTGGCGCTCCACCGGCCGAGGAGCGGGGGGGAGCAGGAGCAGCAGCAGGGGACGCTGGTCGAGGAGCAGCAGCGGCAGGGGCACGATACGCCGACGGCGCCTCTGCACCACCGCCCCGCCAGGGCCAGGGACATCTCGGGCCATGGCATGGCCCAGTCCCTCCTGGCTGAGGCCAGGAGGCGCTGTGCACGCTGCCCCAGGGCCCGGGAGGGCCCTGGCCCTGGCAGGGGCCCTCCGTGGGAGAGGAGCCGCAGCAGGAGGGCGGTTGGTGCGGAGGTGCCCTCCGCCGTGGGCCGCAGAAGCGCTGTCGGTGGAAGTGGACCCGCAGCAGGAACGTGTTTGACGAAATCGGTAAGACAAGACAATTTTAGGAAAAGCATCTCTGCTGAAAGCTCTGGGCGACTCTCGAAGCGGGGGAGTTCGGGCGGGCGTGGGGGACCTTACGCGGTGGCGCGGGGTGCGCGGGGAATTTGGGCGGGCATTGGGGGGGAGGCGGGGTGGACGCGGAGAACTTCGAACAGAGCCTGGATCGCTGAGAAAGCTAATGGCCCCATGGAGAAAGATGCAGCGACATGATGAAGCTAGCAAGGATCTGGGGAAGGCTGGGCGAACCCGAAGGATTTTGAACGCCAAGGGGAGCGGTTGGAGGGCCGTGGCGGAACTGGCGTTTGAGCCGAAAGAGGCGGTCGTCGTCGTCGTCGTCGTCGTCGTCGTCGTCGTCGTCGTCGTCGTCGTCGTCGTCGTCGTCGTCGTCGTCGTCGTCGTCGTCATTGTCGTCGTCGTCATCATCATCATCATCATCAGCATCAGCATCAGCATCAGCATCAGCAACAGCATTAGCATCATCATCAGCAGCATCAGCAGCATCAGCCTCATCAGCATCAGCATCAGCATCAGCATCAGCATCAGCATCAGCATCAGCATCAGCATCAGCAGCATCATCAGCATCATCATCGTTGCCGTCGTCGTCATCATCACCACCACCACCATCATCATCACCACCACCATCATCATCATCATCATCATCACCATCACCATCATCATCATCATCAGCAGCAGCAGCATCATCATCACCATCATCATCAGCAGCATCGTCATCATCGTCGTTGTCAGTGCCGTCGTTGCCGTCGCCGTCGGGCAGCAGCGGCGCAGCAGCAGCAGCAGCGGCGGCAGCAAGCGGCAGCAAGCAGCAGCAGCAGAGCGAGGGGCGAGGAGGGCGGCCGCCTCGCCTCGCCCGCTGCAGGGAGGCCCCGCCTCACGGGGCGCCCCGCGCGCTGAGCGGCGGCAGGCTCAGCGCCGCGGTCGGCAGGGACAGCGGCGACCTCGCCGCGCCCGGCTCCGCGCCCGCGTCGGGGGCGAGGCCCGTCCGGCGCCTGGAGCTCCTGACGGAGGGCGATGACGAGGCGGAGGAGGAGGAGGAGGAGGAGGAGGAGGAAAAGGAGGAGGAGGAGGAGGAGGAGGAGGGGGAGGAGGAGCAGCAGAAGAAGGAGGAGGGAGGAGGGAGAGACGGGAGGGGGAGTTTGGAGGAGGGAGGAGGAGGAGGAGGAGCAGGAGGAGGAGCAGGAGGAGGAGGAGGAGGAAGAGGGAAGAGTGAGGAGGAGGAGGAGGAGGAAGAGGAGGAGGAGGACAAGTGTAAACCCAAGAGTCATCAACGATGTTGGAATAAACCCTCCCTCCAAGCTCCCTCTTCATAGGCCCCTACAACGGTTCATTTCCACTGAAGGAACTGCCTCGTTGGAAGACAACCGTTGGAAGATGCAGAAGCATGCCAAAACATTGTTCCCGGGATTCCAACGCCACGTATCAACTGGACTGTTGCGTCTTGACAATCCTGAATCGTGCCAGGAAGCCATTGCTGGGACTTCAACACTGCGAATCAACGTAAGCGTTGCACTCTCATCCAAAATCCGTTCAAAACATCATTTCTGGTACGCTGATCATGGGAATCTGTGAAACCCTTGCAAATGTTGAAAACGAATGAGCGCGGCGCTAAGGCGAGAACCATATTTTCAAAAGGAGCCGCCACCAATCCGTGAAGCTCTTGCAACGCGGCGCTAAGGCGAGAGCCACATTTTGAAAACGGGCCGCCTTCAATCCGTGAAGCTCTTGCAAAAATGTAAAACGAATGTGCGCGGCGCAAAGGCGAGAGCCTCATGCTGAAAACGGGCCGCCCTCAGTTTACGAAACTCTTGCAAATTTCTAAAACGAATGCGCGCGGCGCTAAGGCGAGAGCCACATGTTGAAAACGGCCCGCCCTCCATCTGTGAAACTGCTGCCAAGGTTTAAGCTTCAGGGCAATAAATGGTGAGGAAGTCTCACGCGAATCGCCCGGCCCGCCCAAAAAACTGGCCTCGGCGTGCGACAGGAAGAAATTAAGTACAAGGAAAAGGCGTGACGGAGGAGGAGAAGGAGGAGGAGGAGGGAGAAGGAGGAGGAGGAGGAGAAGGAGGAGGAGGAGGGAGCAGGAGGAGGAGGAGGACAAAAAGGAGGAGGAAGAAGGGAGAGACGGAAAAGGGAGAGATGGGAAGGGGGCAGGAGGAGGAGGAGGAGGAGGAGGATGAGGAGGGAGGAGGAGGAGAGGAGGAGGAGAAGGGACGAGGAGGAAGAAAAGGGAGGAGGAGGGGGAAGGAGAAGCGAGGAGGAGGAGGAGCCAGGAGGAGGAGGAAGAGGGAGGAGAGGAGGAGGAGGAGAAAAAGGGAGACGGGGAGGAGGAGCGAGGAGAGGAGAGGAGGAGGAGGAGGGAGGAGGAGGAGGAGGAGGAGGAGGAGGAGGAGGAGGAGGAGGAGGAGGAGGAGAGAGAGAGAGGGAGCTGGAGGAAGGAGGTTGGAGGACGAGGAGGAGGAGGAGGAGGACGACGACGAGAGGTGCACGGGCGTCGGCGCACCAATCAGAGGCGTCAGCGAGGCACAGCTCGAGGGTGCGAGGCACTCAGGCAGCGCTGGAGGATGCAAGAGGATGTCCCTGCACGCCAACAAGGGCTCCTAACTTCGCGCTTCGCGCTGCGCGAAGCGCGAACAACTTCGCGCTCTCGCGCCGCCCCCAAAGGGGAGAAGAGGAGGACAAGGAGGAGGGGGAGGAGGAATGAGGCCCGCAAAGCGCGAAGCGTGACTAACTTCGCGCCCTCGTGGGAACCCTTGGCCAAGGACTGCCTGAACCGAGGCATGCAAAGGTCCCTCGCGTCTCATGCTTGTCCGTCTTCCTGATTGTGACTGCCTGCCGAATACTACCCTCGACCTCGAACCCGCGAGCGGCGTGCACGAGGGTGAGATAGCTGCAGGCCGTGGCGAGAGCGAGGGAGCAATGCCAGAGCCAACGTTGGCCAGATGTCGAGGACGATCGGGAGCAAGAGGAGCAGCAGCAGGGCAAGGGGAAGGAGGGAGGAGAGAGAGAGAAGGGGGAGCAGTAGCAGCAGGTGGCGCCTGATGGGTGAGCAGTAGCAGCAGATGACGTCTCCTCCTAGTCCTCCTCCGTCTTATCATCATTACCACCACGACCAGCAGCATAACTCATGGACAAAATCCTGGTAAAAGTCATCCTCATCATCGCGTCACCACCATCACCACCATCACCACCACCATCACAACCATCATCATATGCAGCAGAATCACCAGCGTCATCATCAGCATCACCACTAATGCCATCATATTCAACCTCACCACCAATCATCTTCTTCGTAGTCAACCTCCTCCTCATCATCATCATCATCATCATCAGCATCATCATCATCATCATCACCATCAGCAGCATCATCGGCATCAGCAGCAGCATCATCAGCAACATCATTAGCATCAGCATCAACATCTGCATCATCTCCATCATCACCATCACCATCACCAGCAACATCAGCAGCATCATCATCATCAAAACCTGCAGCCGCATAATCATCATCGTCATCATCATCAGCATCATCAGGATAAGCTTCATCATCATGATCGTCATCATCACATCATCGCCTCATCGTTAGTGTCATCGCTCATCATCATCATCATCATCAGCATCATCAGCATAATCACCTCATCACCACCATCATTATCATCATCACCACCATCATAATCCGCATCACCGGCATCATCATATGAGTCATTACCAGCAACGTCATCATCAGCAGCATCATCGTCATCAGCTTCATCATCATTCAGCAGCATCACCATCACCATCCATCATCCAAATCCTGCACCTCCACAACATCCATCCATCTCCATCCCTCCCTCCATCCCTCCCTCCATCCCTCCTCCCCTCCCCCCTCCCATTCTCTCCTCCTCACTCTCCTTCCCCTCCTCCCCACTCCATTTTCCTCCTCCTCCGCCTTCACCTGCTCGTGTCAACTCCTGGACAAGGAGCCTGACTTGCGGTCGGCGCTCCTGGCGGAGACGCTGCCCTCCCCCTGCAGCTGGGAGGCCTTGGCGGGGCCCAACGACATACATATCCGGCGCCTACCTCCACCCGTCCCCTCCGTCCCTGCTGTCGAACGGAAAGAAGGGCCCAGACCTCCAAGGTCGCGCAGCATGGAACCCCAAAGTCTCGGCCCCTTCCCAGGGACCGGTATTTCGATTGTACGATCCCGGGCCCGGCCAAAAGCCTTACGTCGTGCGCTGGCTTCACGGAACGCGGGCGGAGGTGGGCGGGCGGGGGGGAAGGGCGACACCAGATAGGCCCCCCCGCCTGCTTCTCCTCCGTGGCCTCGGTCCGGGGTGTGAGCGGCGGCAGGCCTGGGTCCTCGGGCCGCGCATCGACCTGCGGGGCACGCGGCGCGGGGGAAGGAGGACGATGGAAGAGGGAGGAGGATGAGGGAGAGCACGAACCATACAACTGCCGCCAGCACTGACACCACTACTGATGACTAAGACTACGACTACGACTACGACTACAACTACGACTGCTACTACGATTACGGCTACGGCTACGACTACGACTACGACTACTGCTACGACAACAACTGCGCCTACGACGACGACTGCGACTACAACTACAACTACGACTACGAACACCACTACTACTACTACTACTACTACTACTACTACTACTACTACTTCTACTACTACTACTTCTACTACTACTACTACTACTACTACTACTACTACCACTACTACTACTACTACCACTACTAGGTGCTACTACTACTACTACTACTACTACTACTACTACTACTACTACTACTACTACTACTACTACTACTACACCTACGACTACTACTACTACTACTACTACTACTACTACTACTACTACGACTACTACTACTACTACTACTACTACTACTACTACTACTACTACTACACTACTGCTACTACAGCTACTACTACTACTACTACCACTACTACTACTACTACTACTACTCCTACTACTACTACCATACTACTACTACTACTACTACTACTACTACTACTACTACTACTACTACTACTACTCTACTACTACTACTACTACTACTACTACTACTACGACTACTACTACTACTACTACTACTACTACTACTAACTACTACTAACACGACTACTACACTACCACCACTACCACTACTACCACTAACTACTGCTACCACTACTACTACTCCTACTACACTACTACTGCTGCTGCTGCTGCTGCTGCTGCTGCTGCTGCTACTACTGCTACTGCTGCTGCTACTGCTACTGATACCATAACTACTACTACTACTACTACTACTACCACCACTACTGCTACTACTACTACTACTACTGCTACTATTATTATTACTACTACTACTACTACTACCACTACTACTGCTACCACCACTACTACTACTGCTACTACTATTACTACTACTACTACGACTACTACTACTACTACTACTACTACTACTACTACTACAACTACTACTGCTTCTACTACTACTACTGCTGCTGCTGTTGCTGCTACTACTGTAAGACTACTCGTACAACTACTATCACTACTAGTACCACTACTCCTACTCATATTCCTACTACTACTACTACTATTACCACTACTACTACTACTAATACTACTACTACGACTACTGCTACTACGACTACTACGGCTACTACGACTACTACTACAACTACTACTACTACTACTACTACTACTACTACTACTACTACTACGACTACTGCTACTACTACCTCGACGACGACCACTACGACGACGACGACTACTACTACTGCTGCTGCTACTAGTACTACTAGTACTACTACTACTACTACTACTACTACTACTACTACTACTACTACTACTACTACTACTACTACTTCTACTACTACTACTACTACTACTACTACTACGACTACGACTACGACTACCACTACTACTACTACTACTACTACTACTACTACTACTACGTCTGCGACTTCGACAAAGACTACTACTACACCTGCTACGACTACTACGACTTCTACGACTACTACTACTACTACTACTACTACTATTACTACTACTACTACTACTACCAGGTCTACTACTACTACTACTGCTGCTACTACTACAACTACTACTACTACTACTACGACTACTACTACTACTACTCACGCTGCTGATGCTACTACGGATACTACTACTACTAGCGCTACTACTGTTGCTACTACTACTACTACTACTATGATTACTACTACTACTACTACTACTACTACTACTACTACTACTGCTACTTCTACTACCACGACTACTACGACTACTACGACTACTACTACAACTAAACATATAAAACTACTACTACTACTGCTACTGCTACTACTACTACTACTACTACTACTACTACTACTACGTACTACTACTACGACTACTACTACTACTACGAGGACAACTACAACTACGACTACGTCTATGACCTCGAATACGAATACGACTACTATTACTACTGCTGCTGCTGCTGCTACTACTTCTACTACTACTACGTCGACTACTACTACTACTACTACTACTACTACTACTACGACTACTACTACTACTACTACTACTACTACTACCACTACTCCTATTACTACTACTACTACTACTACTGCTACTACTACGATACGACGACTACTGCGACTACTACTACGACTACGGCTATGACTACTACTACTACTACTACTACTACTACTACCACCACCACTACTACTACTAGTGCCGCTGCTGATGCGACGATTTGTACTGAGACTACTACTACTACTACTACTACTACTACTACTAGTACTACTACTACTACTACTACAACTACTACTACTACTTCTACTCGTTCGACTAGTACTACGACTAATACTCCTGCTACTACTACTACTACTACTACTACTACTACTACTACTACTGCTACTGCTGCTGCTGCTGCCAACGCTACTTCTACTACGGCTGCTACTAATATGACTACTACTACGGCTACTACGGCTACTACGACCACTACGATGACTATTCCTAAGACTACTACTACTACTACTACTACTACTACTACTACTACTACTACTACTACTACTACTACTACGACTCCTGCTGCAACTACTCCTACTACAACGACTACGACCAGGACGAGGACGACGACGACAACTACTACTACGACTACCATTAATACTACTGCTACGGCTACTACAACTACGCCTGCTACCACTACTGCTACTACTACTACTACTACTACTACTACTACTGCTACTACTACTACTACGACTACTACTACTAATACTACTGCTACCACTACTACTGAAACTGCGACTGCTACTACTACGACTACTACTACTATTACTGCTACAGCCACTACCTGTTTCACGACTACTGCTGGTATTGCTACGACTGCTACTGCTACGGCTACTACGGCGACGACTACGACAACGACTACGACTACGACGACTACTACTACTACTACCACTACTACTACTTCTACTACTACTAATACTACTACTACAGCTACTACTACTACTCCTACTACTACTACTACTACTACTACTACTACTACTACTACTACTACTACTAGTACTACGAGTACTACTACTACTACTATTACTACTACTACTACTACTACTACTACTACTACTGCGACTGCTTCTACGACTACTACTGCTACTACTACGACGACTGCTACTAATACTTGTTCTGCCACTATTACTACTACGACTACGACTACTACTACTACTACTACTACTACTACGATTACTACTACTACTACTATTACTACTACTACCCCTATCCCTACTACTACTACGACGGCGTCAACTACTAGTACGACGGCGACGACGACTACTACTACTACTACGACAACTACTACTACTACTACTACTACTACTACTACTACTACTACTACTACGACTACTCCTGCTACTACTACTACTTCTACTTCTACTACTACTACTACTACGACTACTACTACTACTACTACCTAACGACTACTACATCACGGCTGCTAACGTTTACTACGACTACTACGTTTACTATGCAACATACTACGACTACCACAACTACTACGAACGACCGCGATACTGGGAGAGTGCGACTACTACAATACTAGACAAACGGCTACTTCTTCTAA